TTTTCAGCAACAAATAGGCAGTGGAAATGTGGTTTTGATACTCATATTGTACCACCTATTGCTACAATTTCAAAGTTTATATCTGTCACAATCATGAAGACTACAAGTATTTATTTTTTGCTCAACACTCCACACTGACTCAATCACTTCATTTCTTAACACAATACTTTTTACTGTGAAATATTTGCAGAGCCATGTTGTTGATAATGCAGTGGTTTGCATGGCTCCATAAATATGTGCAGGACCAGCTTTCAGCTGTTAAATTTCAATAGTTATAGCAGCAGGCAGCTCTGCAGCTACACTGCTGTCTGTGTGAAAACTGCACACATGAGAGTTTGTAGTTGTTTGTCTAATGTAGACTGAGAAATTTTGTAAAATTACATTGTGGGGACAGATTTTTTTTAAACTGACTGGGAAAATATCTGTTTACAAAAATATCTGGATATGTGTCGACAGGGCCTTTATGTTGACTGTGTAGTTAACCCTCTGTTAATGTAGCATTACATTAGCTATCCAGCCAATGTTAGTGTCAAGACTGTGTTGTCATAGAAACATAACCATGTGGAGCACATCATTCTTTAATGAAGCGTCAGGGGCCCCTTTTTATGAAGTGCTGGGATGAAGCACTACCCTGCACCCTGCCACCACTTTTCTGCTGAAGACAAATGCTATGTGGACACAGGCCCTTAGCACTGTGAACTATATTATCACCTTTAGCTTTGTTAGCACCATCAGCAGTGTCAGCATGGCTGGAGGTTATAACATAGTTAACAATGCTAAAGCAGTTTTGTGGCTTAAAATGGCGCCACTTATTTACCAAGGCAACCTGGAGGGAGACCTGAGGATGGCTACCATGTTCCGCAGCAACGCTGACCCATCACCATGAGGAAGTGGAGGGTGGGCGCTGAGCTTCAGTGCCACCGCCATGCTGATATTAGCAGTAACTGCCATTTGACCACAGTGCAAGGCAAAAGTGATGTGGTAATTAGTGGGATACACAAATGTACTAACATGCACGTGCAGCTGCACTGGCTTACCACAAAAAAATCACAGAAAAACTCAAAATACAGCACACACTGACGGTACCTTATTTTCTGCTCAGGAAACGATCACAGCAAATAGTGGTTTGTTGCTGTAAAGCTCTGAATGTCAAAAACAGCTCCTTTAGTCTGAGATGATGAACATTAGCAAACTGTTTTTAATTTACATGGCCAGCACATACAGAGCAACATTAGCATTCATTTGAAATGGTGTGTCTGGTCAGTTGATGAATGTTAGTCTAACATTCACTCTGTGTTCAGCTCTGTCTTGGCCTTCAGCAACACCTCCTTTAATATGTGGCTCTTTAACAGCTAAAAGCTTCACTTTGTTCACCAGCTAGTTGTTAACTTTTTTTGTCAGCTGTTTGGTGCTGAGCAGTGGGTTTTTTAGAGTTTTAATGGTACAGTTGGTAATTTTTGTGAAAATACCTTTTTGTCAAACTGTCGCTTTATTGTGAAAGAATTAGCTACATGAAACAAATAATCTGTTACAAAAGTCACGTCCCTCCTCCTTCTCCTACTGGCTCACTGCACAGCACCCTGAACAACTAATCAAAATCAATCAAATTAGAGCTCTAACACAGCTGTCAGCCGTGTATCTCTACTTGTGAGCTGCAATCAAATTGTCAAACTAGGCAGGGCTGATCAAATATGAATCAAATACCTGTTTGTCACCATGAGTGACATCTTTGAAGTTTCAAGTACTTAAGTGATCCATTTGTTATGATAATATGATTATAGCTGCAAAGCCATCCATCATCCAACTTTCATTAAACCACAGTCTGGAGAAGGCTTGCAAAGCAAAGTCACATATTTCAGCCCATTCTGCCAACTCGTCAAATACCGACGCGTTGTCAATGATTTTGGCGTCAGAAACATCTTATGCAGTGGTACAATAGAGCATGTGATAGAATATAATGAGCTTGGCTATTTCTGAAGCCGCCAGCAACTACAATAGTATAAATAGTGACAAAGCTCCCATATTTTGGGCAGGAGGGGAGGTGGATGGACAAACAAATGCTGAACTTTCACCCAAGAGCCCTCTGTTCATTTACCAAGTGAAACTAAATGTCAATGTCACATAAAGATAAAAAAACAATGACTGGCCAGTTCAGTCAGTGCGAAAATCCATGGTACAGGTAGGCAGTCCAAAAATACATGCGAGGCCCCCTGACTGTAGTAAAAAATCCTTGACACATGGATAAAGCAATGCGTTACAACAAGAGAGTCTTTATCAGGATGTAAAAGGCATTGAAAACAGGTGTGCAATTTAAGAGCTCATGTAGAGGTCATGTGACACTGGTCACTTAATATGTTGATGTATTCCTACTAGACAAAAACCACATTGAAAGATATTGCAAATGAAAATGAGGTAAATATGTACTATGAGTAATTTACATATCTAGTACCAATAAAAAGGAGGTTCATCCCAAATAAAAAGGAGGAAAACAACAGTAAAATAAAGTCAGAATTGTCATATTCTGTGAAAAACCTGCACATTAAGTGACAGGAAATAAAAATTATCCAATAAAATATAAAACAAAGACAAGAAACAATATGTACACTACTGTAAACGGACAATATCCTAACCTGTTTAAGGCTGAAATATTCCCAAATAGTTTAATGATAATGTTTTCCTCATTATCAGTCAATGGAGTTACATATATAACAATGTAGTGCAACATGACGTTTATGACATATGCCACATGATGTTTGTCATGAGATGTGACATTACGTTAACAGTGCTTATTTTAAGCTAAACCATGATGTTTTTTCTAAAGCTAACTACGTGTTCCTATACTTCAGGAAATTAACTTAAAAACCAAGCGTTTTACCCATGTACATAGGTGGAAATCCTGGGGGGGCAGGGGGCTCTGGACTGACCCCTTCTTTGGGAAAACGGGGAATTGTCCCCCCAGGTATTTCTGATTCAGTATATAATTTGAGGAAACTATACAATTTTAAACTATATAATAATAGAAATAAAAGCACTTGTGCCAATTATATATGCAACACGATGCATTAATAACTTTAAAAAGATTGCATCCTCCCCCCTCATCTGCCTCACAATGGTTTGGTCCATGTCCGCATACACCGGCACACAGCAGCACTGGCACTGGCAGAACTGACTGGGAATCAGTGGAAGTTAACTTAAAACAAGAGACATATTGGACACCTTTATTTACTTCTACTTTTCAACAGAATTTTGTGTGAATGCAGCAGTCATACAAACAGCCCAGCCGCTAAAAATCATTCAAACCAATTTTAGTGCAGTTTGGATTGTAACTTTATATTTATTTAGTTTTATGTATACACTTACAACTTATAATTTCAATGTACATAGTACTGTGCATATTTAAGTTGCCCTACATTCAGAGGCATAATTACTCAACTTGTTTTGAGAGAAGCCACCATAAACACATGTTTTGTTTAAAATATTATTGTTTGATTTAGTGGGGCTGTTCACTGAAGGATTTATTCTGCCTATAAACTTGCATTTATTTAGAGATTGATATTCTTGTGAAGCATTGTAGCAGAGATAAAATGAGTGACACTTATTGACTGACCACATAAATATATGATGACAAGATAAATTCAAACAGAAACTATCTTCATTGTGATTTTCAGTCTTTGTAACAAGAACAACGACACCCATATTTGTTGTACATTGCCACTTACTAGTCATTTTTGGTAATGCAGGTTGAACATATTAAAAACCTTTATATAGGGGCTACTGTATTGATAAGGGATGCTGTTCTAAACATTATTATTACTTTTAATATAATTATTAAATACATTTGACCATGCTGGTTCCATTTATATGTGTTACAACAGTAAATTTGACTGCAACTTTGTTGGTCCCCCCAAAAAAATTACTCTTGAGAAATATTTCTGTATATTGTTGTCCCCAGCAATGAATGGAATGGAATTTCTGCCCTTGCCCATGTAATAACTTTATTTTGAAAAACTGCCCAAAACTGATGCAGGAGGGTACCTAGGGCATCATATTTTGATGTTTAGGTCCACTGACAAAGCGGCAATATTTGATGAGCTGGAATGAGAACAGGTGGGGTCATTTAAAGTGGTAACAAACCAAGGTTTGGTCATTGGTAGGATAAATGCCTTGAAGTGGATCGTGATTTACTACTATTACCTGAACTTGAGTCCCTGTGTCAAAATGTAGTCATTACTTAGCTGAATTTGAGTATTCATGGTGCATATTCCTAAATTAATTAGTATTTAATGAAATAATCAAACAGCAAACCTGGATATACACAACAACGGAATATATAATGTCATGAAAATGAAATACGACAGACCTTAGCTATCATCATCATAATCATGGTCGAAGATCATCCCACTGAAACTGAAAAGAGAACAGATTATATTAGATTATATATTATTTAATAACAGTAGTAGGAGGAGTTGTAAAGTAGCAGTTAATATAAAGTAGTGGTAGAAGTACCAGTTTTCGTGGTGCTAACGATGGTAACAAATATTGAATGTAATGAAATACATGTGCTTCACACTGCAAAAGGTTTTCTACTTGTTCTTGTGTATACAGTTAGCTTCTAAATAATTGAGTGTCCTGCATGCTTCCTAGCTGGGCCCCCTGCTGAGAGGCACACACACACTCATACACACACACAGACTACCAATCTTCACCAATTTCTCACACTACTTCACTCAGTTCTCCATCATGCATAATATACTTACACACACACACACACACACACACACACACACACACACACACACACACACTCCTGCACCATGTAATAAAGTAGTGACTCCACCACCCACCCTGCAGTACAACACAAAGAGCTGACAGCCCTCCCCCCTTCCTCCCTCTCCCCTTCCATTGGCTGAGAGGCTTGGATGCTGGCAGTGTCTCAGACCAATAAGACGTCTCCAAGGTGATGTCATGGAGGCAGCATTGATGCTGTTGCTGATGCTGTTGCCCGGCGCCTGTATCCGTGCAGCCAGACAGGGGTAACCGTAGTCACCGGTCTAGCAGCAGCAGCAGCAGCAGCAGCAGAGAAGACAGGGACAGAGGGGGGTGAGTCTGCATCACAAAACACACAGCAGCACATATTTGGACTCTACTTGGCTCATTTTGGGTTCTCAAGTCTGTGTTTTAATGGTTAACTGAACGTTGCCGCGGTATGTGTGTGTTTGCGAGTGTGTGTGTATTGGTAGGGCGTAATGGGGCGAGGGTGAGGATAGTGATGATGCAGTGGTTCCTGCTGACAGGAGAAGGAGGAAGAGGGGGAGAGAACTCAGTGTACCCATAAACTGTAGGTGTGTAACCTGTCATTTATTATTGATCCTCCATATGTGCACATGCAGCTTTGTGTTTGCTATTAGCAAGGGGAGAGAGAAATAGAGTGGGTGAAGGAAATGACATGTTTACGTGTTTTGTGCTGAAAAGGTGTGTTTGCATGTGTGTATGTGTACAATAGAGCAGGAAAGAAAGGAGGACAGAGAGAGGTAAGACAAGAAGAAACACTTGAGACAAATAGTTACAGAAGTTACTGTTTGTCTTATATTTCTGTCTGGTTTTGAACCTGCAAAGTGTCTTTTCTTTAGTATTAATTTCGTCTTTATTGTTACATCTTTAGCTTTGCCACACTGCAGGTTTATTATTCTGTGTGCATAGTGCCTTTTCAAGTGCAGGTATGCGGTAAGAAAAGCTGGCAGAACAACAGCAAAAGCAATCCCTGTAAAACCTCTATAACCAACTGAGTCAAAATGGATCATAAAAAGATAAAACTATAGATGGGTGTAATGGGATAAATTGAACAAATGCTGATACTATCTAGTATTGTGAAGATGGAGTCTGTTATAACTGTTACTCGTATAAGAAATTTGTATAATGCAGTTAAAATGTTAGTAGAAATAATCAGAGGTGTGTTAACACCATAAGATGGTGTAAAGGATTCCTGCAAGAATATGAAAAGTAATGAATCATATACTGTGCCCATGGAAACAGAGTAACTTTTTTCATTTGGATTTCTATGAAACTCATCTAGAACACTGAAGGTGCACTGTATGTGAAAATGAAAATGATTTACATTCAGACAACTTGATATCTGTTATCTGTTCAAATGCTCAACTTTACAGCAGAAATAAACATGGAACAAAAAATGGTTTTTGTCTCTCTAGCTAATTTTAACAGTCATGACAACTGTACAGGGGTGAATTTTGTATAACTCACCGATTTACATTTTATGAAGGCTTTAAGTTACCAGTTCATTCTCATTCCGAACTCATTAAATACCACTGTATTGTCAGTGATTTTGGCATCAGACACCAACGCTAAAAGCCACCTTTCACAGTGGTATAATACACCTCTGGGTGGCATCAGTTTGTTACACAGCCAGATGAAACCTTTTGCGGTGTTATGATATGGCGCCAGCCGGACAGCACCTGTCTTAGTGGTATGTTACGCAGACGAAAGACATAGGTTTGAAACGTTGCCAGTAATGACATTATATTAGGAGCTGAAAAGACTCTATAGGGGGAGTGGAGGTGGATGGGTCCAACAAACCTTTGTCGTTCACCTAGGAGCCTGGTGTTCACTTCCAATGTAAATGCTGAGCCAAACCATGACGATTTTTTCCAAACATATCCACATGCTTTTGTTGCACAATGAAATAAACGTAAATACTAAGTGTTCGACCAATTTTGTAAGTTTATTTTTAAAAGGGACATTGTGTAACATTTTCAGTTGTTTGTTGGTAAAAATCGATGTCTGCATTCATAAATATGTCATCATTGGTTTATTATACCTCTGCCAATAATCTGACTTACTCTTGTAAAAGGAGAATTTCGGATTTGTTTGTACATTGTGCGGGTAAGTCGTCTGGGGGGTTCCATAACGTTTCGCCATCTTCAGAATGCATCCACCAGCAAGGGACATACAGCCACACCTTTGGCGTTTTCGTTGAAAGTCAGGCTCGCACTGTGTGACTGAAAAGCTGAAGGGGAGGAGCAAGGGGCGCTTCGCTACTACCTCGGCACTACTGCAGCATAACAAAGTCCCACTCTTTGAGCATTATGCAGGATCATGCACGTGCAGCATCACGGGAGACGGAATCCTCGTTGCCAAGAAAGCGCATAAGGGAATCAAAAAGGCAACATGACCGCCATCAAAAAACAAGGGTCAACATCGAGGTAGCCGCTAACAGCTGTTAGCAGCCACCGCCGCTGTTAGTGCTGTTAGCACCGCTGTTAACTGTTAGCCGTGACAGCTGTTAGCAGTGTTACGAAGAGAGGGATGAGGTGTGTGAGGTTGAGCCACTTGTCAGTCGTCAAAAGACAAGACGTGATTGGTTTGTTTCGATTTACACCCGCCCCAACAATCCTATGTTGTAAACACAGCCAGCATGGTGAGGAGGGGGTTTGTCAACTCGCATCATGTGTGTCTGTGTAGGAGCCTGAATGAATACTCCATGAAGTATCAGATGACATGGTTTCATCAATGTTATCATAGCTTTGAAACAGTGAGGCGCTAGAGTGTGCTATCCGTTTGAATGCAATATATGATTTCAGTGTTAGATGGGAGAAATTCCTACACACTGTGGCTTTAAAATAGACTGTATGCATCTTATGAGCAGAAACTGTATATTTCCTATGAGAACATAAGTGTATTTTGAAAAGACACAATGCATTTAACAAGAATGTCAACAACAAACGCAGGTTACCTAGCACTTCATATGTAGACTTGTAAGGCATGGACCAAGCAGCCATATGCGATGAGTTGGGATGACAACAGGTTGAAATTATGCATAATTACGGGCGGGTCTCTTTGAGTGACAGGCTGTCTGCCAATAGTGTCCTCAGCTTCTCAGTCAGATCTTTTCTTCCCTCTTCCACAGCTCCACCCTCTTGCCCAAATATGGCCACATCTGGCTCCAAAAAGCCAAGATGGCTACGGCCAAAATGCCCAACTCGAGGCTTTAAAGCCATGCAATGGGTGACGTCACAGTAGCTACGTCCATTATTTTAACAGTCTGAAGTTTAACTCTTTACTTACATTATCACTCTAGGTTTTACTGATGCTTCTTGTTTTGCATTATCCCCTTATCCTATCTGAGGCCTGCCCTTTTTTGAAATATGAAGCCCTGAGCTCTAAGTCAGTTTTACAAATGGGATAATTTCCCTAAAATGATGCCCTCTATATAAATGAGATGAAAAGACATTACATGTAGTCAGGTACCCCAAATAATGACAAGTTTTTGTACAGATTATTAAATGATATGTAACATGTTAAGCTTTAGAGGTGCCTGAAAGGAATTTTGTTACCTCTGGATGGACTCAGGCTAGCTGTTTCCCCTTATTTCCAGTCTTTATGCTAAGCTACAAAAATTGACTGCTGAACATAAAATCATATTCGGCATAAAAACACAAGACACAACATCTGAATCTTGGCAGGGAAGCAAATGAGCCTATTTCACAAAATGTTGAACTTTTGCCTTAATATTCAACATTTACTGTAAAGAGTGAAAAAATACACATGAGTATGCAACAAAGACAAATCATTCTGGGGGTGTCGGTGGCTTAGTGGTAGAGCAGGCGCCCCATGTACAAGGCTCTTGCCGCAGCGGCCCAGGTTTGACTCCAGCCTGTGGCCCTTTGCTGCATGTCACTCCCTCTCTCTCTCCCCCCTTCACTTGTCTGTCCTATACATTAAAGGCTAAAAAGCCCCAAAAATTATCTTAAAAAAAAAGACAAATCATTCTCCATGTGTTTTTGTTACTTTAATATGGACTATAGTAGCCCAAGTTTTTGAGACCTTAAAGAAAAAATACCACCTTCAGCAGACATGAGGGACAGAGATCATCTGGGAGAAATATTCCATTAATGTCATAAAATACTACAAAGAAAAACTTCACTGATTTAACTGCACATATACCAACAACCTTACCCAAATGTCCTTGTGTTTACTAAGGCCCCTCTCTCTCCCTGGAGCAGTCTCATTCCTGCAGGAAGCAGTGCATTGATCTGCAACCTGGGTGGTTTCATTAGATCAGAGGCAGCTGTGTGTGTGTGTGTGTGTGTGTGTGTGTGCATTCCAACAGTGCAGTCAGTGATGTATTTTAAGGTATCTGTACATTTATGTTGCATGTGTCTATAGAGCATACGTGTGTGTCCTTGAGTGTGTTGGTCTCACTGGGAGCCATGTCAGGGTGGTCAGGTGAGTGTGTGCTCCACACTATAATGAGATGTCTCTCATTCTTGTGTCACAGGTTGTCTCATTAGTACACTGCTCTCACTCTCTGGAGCTCACTGCTCCTCAGGCATTTAATGTGGAAAGACTGACAGCTTAAAATGACAGGATAGGATAGTATAAGATAGATAGATTTTTTTTTCCACAAAAAGACAGGAGACAGTTAGCTTTGCTTATAGATAGAGAAATATATATATATATATATATATATATGTATGTATATACCAATAGGGATGAGTGAGTTCACCATTATCTGTATCTGTGTCTGTATCTTTTCAACCAACTAAATTATCTGTATCTGTACTCGAAATGGCGGGGTTTATGTCTGATGTGGATGGAGTTAAACCTAAAGTGGGTTGGGCCTAATCGGAAGTTGTTATTTTAAGTCTGAAATTTATATGGATTGATCAGATATTGCAATATTTATTACTTATGAGAAAAGTATTTACAGAACAGCCTCAGAATTGAGCTTCAGATCATTTTTTTTATCACAACTGTAACAGATTAAATTTAACCATCCCAATGTGGATTTTCCTTCATCACGAGTACAGGTAATGACACATTTTACTTGTATGATAATCATACTCGTAACAAGTACATTATCTGTACCAGATACTCGTTTTATCTGAGTAATCGGCTCAACCCTACACACAATTAGCATGTTGTATCTTGTTTGTTTAGTATGTACACAAACTGTAGAAAATGTCAATTCTACTTTTTAATGGTGAACAACAGCCAGGGGCAGTTCCTTCCCAGAGTGTTGCAAGGACAATATAAAAGAAGGAAAGGTCATGATGTCAGTGGCAGTGTTCAAATTTTGCATTGGA